AGGTATAGATACTCTGTTTGTTATTTTACACTGTTCCCTTTTTTTTAAAATAACCTATAGAGCCTTAGAACATCCACCTTATCATAAATTACTCCTGATGTGTGATCCTTACAACATCCACTTTATCATAAATTACTCCCCATTTGTGATCCTTACACCATCCACCTTATCATAAATTACTCCCCATGTGTGATCCTTACAACATCCACCTTATCATAAATTACTCACCATTTGTGATCCTTACACCATCCACCTTATCATAAATTACTCCCTATGTGTGATCCTTACAACATCCACCTTATCATAAATTACTCCCCATTTGTTATCCTTACACCATCCACCTTATCATAAATTACTCCCTATGTGTGATCCTTACAACATCCACCTTATCATAAATTACTCCCCATGTGTGATCCTTACAACATCCACCTTTTCATAAATTACTCCCTATGTGTGATCCTTACACCATTACACCTTATCAATAAATTACTCCCTATGTGTGATCCTTACAACATCCACCTTATCATAAATTACTCCCCATGTGTGATCCTTACAACATCCACCTTTTCATAAATTACTCCCTATGTGTGATCCTTACAACATCCACCTTATCATAAATTACTCCCTATGCGTGATCCTTACAACATCCACCTTAACATAAATTACTCTTTTATTAGCATTGCCTACTCACCTTTGCAGTGAAACTCTAGCTGTGTATTTCATTGTGCATTTTTATGCTACACTGTCTGTTAAGCATTTGCTAAACTGGTTAAATTTGGTTGTCCCAGCTTCTGTAAATTATTAATTATATTTATTTTAGTATTTTTGTTTGTTTCAGGAAATGGAAATTAAAAAAGCAGCAAAACAAGGAAATAAACAGGTAAATTTTTTTAAAATGTCTGTGGCATTTAGCTATGGGTGTTGCAAACATGTAATAAGATCTGATAGCTTCACACACACACAAAATTACTATAGCTCTCAATGGAGGGGAAGAGGCAGACCAAGAAAGCCTGGATACAGAGCTTGATTGGCTGGACAGACCCTAGGCATGCGACCATGAAGTCCATCACATGTGACCGTCAAAGCTGGAGGAAGCTGATCAGAGAGTCAACAGCAACTGGTGACCCAGCGACACCCAGTATTACGGGATAAGGATGATGACCCGTTAATTATCATCTCTTATTCCTTTTCTGTTTTGCGCATTTTTTTTGTGTGTGTGTTTAAAAGCTTCTCATCTGTACTGCTGTCTTATTTTTTTTTTCAATTTGTTATCAGGTTAGCCTTACTAATAATTAAGGAAGCTGTCCTATTTGAAAATATTTGTTCCATATGATCTCATATACAACTATTGCAGTCATGCCCCAGTGTGACTTCTTTCTAGTGATTTTAAGAGTATATGCTCAGTATGATCTCATAATACTACCACAGCCAGGGGATTTCCTTTTTGTCTCTTTCAGACTAGGTGCTAAGTATTATCTCATATTTGCTATCTCAACCGTGTGATTTTCTTCTTATGTCTTTGAAATTATGTACAAAATATAATCTTACATTTACTACCACACCCATGTGATTTACTTCTTGTGTCTTTGAGAGTGTGTGCTCAGTGTAATCTCACCTTTACTGCAACCATGTAATTTTCTTCTTGTGTCTTTGAGAATATGTGCTCAGTCTAATCTCATCTTTACTACAATCATGTAATTTACTGCTTGTGTCTTTGAGAGTATTTGCTTAGTGTAAACTCATCTTTACTACAATTATGTGATTCATTTCTTGTGTCTTTGGGAGTATGTGCTCAGTGTAATCTCACCTTCACTGCAGCCATGTGATTTACTTCTTGTGTCTGAGAATATGTGCTCGTGTAATCTCACTTTTACTACAACTATGTGATCTACTTCTTGTGTCGGAGAGTATTTGCTCAGTGTAATGTCATATTTACTGCAGCTATGTGATCTACTTCTTGCGTCTTTGAGAGTGTGCTCATTGTAATCTCACATTTACTACAATCATGTGATCTACTTCTTGTGACCTATACTTGCAGGCAGCAACAATTCTAGCCAAACAGCTGGTGAACTTGAGGAAACAGAAAACAAAAAGTTATGCTATGGGATCCAAGATCTCTGCCATTGGGAACCAACAAAAGGTAAGGCTGTTCCTGGTTGGATTATCTGAAGACTATTTCCACATTGATGGCAGGAAGAGAATGCGCTACTGACCTGCAGTAACAGTGAAGATGGTTTGATCCCACTTGGTGAGAGGTTTTTGTTTCAACTGCACACTCCTGAGATGAAGTAAAACACAAATCCTGAGGAAACCTTGTAGATCAGTGGTTCTCAACCTTCCTAGTGCCACGACCCTTTAATACAGTTTCTCATGTTGTCGTGACATCCATTATTTTCGTTGCTCCTTCATAACTTCAGTGAATATTTGTTTTTCGATGGTCTTAGGCGACCCCTGTGGAGGGGTCGTGACTCAGAGGTTGAGAACCGCTGTTGTAGATAAATAGGGGAAGTCAAAGAGAATACACAGTTTCAAAAGTAAAAATATACTGAACCATCGTCATGTACAGGTCCCGTAGAGAGTGGCACTCTTATCATAGTCTGCCTAAATGAAACCTGGTCTCTCGTCAGCTCTCCCACCTCATGTACTTTCCTACCCTAGATGCCACTATTATTCTATGCCCCTCTTCATTCTGGAGGGCTCCTGTCCCTCTTTTCCAGTACCATGCCTTTCGCTACTGTTCTTTCCAATCTGTCATGGCGCTTGATATGGCCAGAATATTTTGGTTTCTGAGACAAGACCCTGTTTACTGGCTAGTCTTATTTAATGTCCAGATCTTTTAAGACATCAAAATGTCTTTTCTAGGCCTATGGTGTTTGAAGAATCATTCTATAGCATTTCTGATCAAAAGTCCCTATTTTCTTCCTCAATGACTGCAGTTGAAGATGCATGATATACTGAACCACAAGACTGGAAAATGGCAACTGAACTCGCTTCATGATGATGACTGTGTTTATATCTATAAGTGCTCTACAGTCCCTGGCATTCATGGACATGAAAGGACCTCTGAAGGAAAACACAGAAGTTGAGCAAGGGAGATATAATACTGTCTGTAGATGAAAAACACAAATCAGAGTGGAAAACCACAACATTTCACAACCATGCAATGGGAAAGAAACTTTTTTGAACATTGTAATTAAAACCTTGTAACTTTAGGTTGAACAGGGTCAATCATTAACAGTAACAACAACAACAAAAACACACCCTTACACACAAAAATCTATGTCCACGCATAGCTTCAGCTTTCTAATTATACTGTTATTATGTTTTATCAGTATATGTCCTATCCAGAAACATCATCTTTTTCTCATCTTTTGCTTCATTTTGTAATTTTGAATTGCTACAGTTAATATTTTATGCCTTCTACATCTACAGATGATGCACTCCAACATGAAGATGGCCACTGCCATGGGAACAACCACAAAGGTAACAGCTGCTCTATATTCTTATCAAGAATTCATGTAAACCCTTTCACCCCGGTGACCTAGAAAAAAGAAAGTCAGTTGTATTTCGGGAATTCCCGAAAAAATCCTTTAAGAAGAAAATACATTTTACACAGCTCACACACAAAGATCCTAGCAATTCCATTTATTATCCAATACAGTATTACTCTCCATACAGAATAAGAGAAGTCACCGGATGAGAATGCCCTGGTACCAACTGCCACAGAGAGCCACGCTGAAGAAATACAATGAACACAGTCCAAAGAGAAGACAACATCAGGAGCAACCTAACAGATATGAACACCAACTTGTACAATGTATTGGAAACAGCACACAAACGATCCTTTACCCCCCCCCTCCTCTCCTCCCCCCCCCACCCCCCTTCAACACTTTGTTGAGGTCAATGGTGGAGGAGAACAAGAAGAAGTAGTCAGTAAATACAAAGGCAGCAGAGGATTATTGAACTTACTTCTCTTTGACCATAACAAAATGTGATATGATGACGCGTATTTGACCCCCCTCCCCAAGGTAAACACTAGTACTAATGGGAAATTATGATTTAAGACACTACCCAGTGCTATTTTCAGCAGATATAATCATTTCCAGTGTTCCTGAACATTTTCACAGGCACAAGCAATACTAGTGCTGTTTGCTATGCTACTCCTGTTCTAGCCCACTATAGTTAGTCAGTAAATCAACATTTATGGGGACTGGACCTAATCGGAAATGTTGGTTTTGTGGCTTCTTAGAGTGATAGGGTTAAAAGAATAGTGTCCATTTTGACAGGAAGTTACGTTTACTAATGTCACATTACATTTACTAAAGGAGATAGGGAGCACTTTTGGTTTGCCTGGAGTTAGTTGTTCAGAGTAACAAACAAACAAACAAACAAAAGTGAACCTTCATTGAAATTCTGGCGGGGAGGGGGTGGGAATGACACTGCTCCTTAACAAGCATGTTGTAAAAGATAATTAATTAAGGATTTACTGAAATTTGTTGAGCTAAAAGGCACAGATATCACAGCCTAGCTGTGAACTACAACACAGTATTTTAAGGCTTAACGCAGAAATGAAGATAAGGTTTATTCTAAGTAAATGGCTTCATCCTTTGTTGACACCTGTCACATGCTGTATCATCTTGTTGACACCTGTCACATGCTGTATCATGTTGTTGACACCTGTTACAAGCTGTATCATCGTGTTGACACCTGTTGCATGCTGTATTATCTTGTTGACACCTGTCACATGCTGTTTCATCTTGTTGACACATGTCACATGCTGTATCATCGTGTTGACACCTGTCACATGCTGTATCATCATGTTGACACCTGTCGCATCCTGTATCATCTTGTTGACACCTATCACATGCTGTATCATCTTGTTGACACCTATCACATTCTGTATCATCTTGTTGACATCTGACACATGCTGTATCATCTTGTTGACACCTGTCACATGCTGTATCATCTTGTTGACACCTGACACATGCTGCATCATCTTGTTGACACCTGTCACATCCTGTATCATCTTGTTGACACCTATCACATGCTGTATCATCTTGTTGACACCTATCACATGCTGTATCATCTTGTTGACATCTGACACATGCTGTATCATCTTGTTGACACCTGTCACATCCTGTATCATCTTGTTGACACCTATCACATGCTGTATCATCTTGTTGACACCTATCACATGCTGTATCATCTTGTTGACACCTGTCACATGCTGTATCGTCTTGTTGACACCTATCACATGCTGTATCATCTGGTTGACACCTGTCACATGCTGTATCATCATGTTGACACCTATCACATGCTGTCTCATCATGTTGACACCTATCACATGCTGTATCATCTTGTTGACATCTTACACATGCTGTGTCATCATGTTGACACCTGTCACATGCTGTATTATCTTGTTGACACCTATCACATGCTGTATCATCTTGTTGACACCTATCACATGCTGTATCATCTTGTTGACATCTGACACATGCTGTATCATCTTGTTGACATCTGACACATGCTGTATCATCTTGTTGACATCTGACACGTGCTGTATCATCTTGTTGACACCTGTCAAATGCTGTATCATCTTGTTGACACCTGTCTCATGCTGTATCATCTTGCAGACAATGACACAGATGAACAAAGTAATGGACCCGCAAAAGACAGCAGCCATGATGCGGGAGTTTCAGAAAGAAACAGACAAAATGGACATGACTGAAGAAATGAGTAAGTGGTGCTTTTTTTTTTTTTTACTTTATTGCCGTTTCTGTTCTTATGACCGCAGCCTTCCGGTGTGAGTACATTTTATTGATGCTATTACCTTCCTTTCTTTTGTCAGCAGCCTACTCCCAAGTTAAGATTGTTTGCCAAAAGGACAGATTTTGTTCGTCTGTTGAAACATGACTGTATAAAATTACGATGTAATGGATATTTTAAAAAAAACCACATCTAAACAAATTGACATTAGTGCTTTAAATAAATGATAATATAAATTACAGTTAATTTTTTTCTAAAATAAAGACACACATAAAGTAAAAATCTTATATCCCCTGAAAATAAACTCTAAAGCATCTTTTTAGATAAAAATAAAAATAAGACCCAGTCTTATTTTAAGCGAAACACTTATTTACAGTTTCTAAGTTTTTATGGATGTACATGTCGCCTCCTCTTTTTTTGCCTGACTGTAACCCAGTGATGTAACACTCCCTGAGAGTGATTCAAAAGATTTCCCTTAGGGTGCTCTCTGAGTTATTGCAAATAATACAATGGGAGCTACTCTGGTGTAGTGGCTAGATGCTCGCCTGCAGATCTGAAGGTCGTAAGTTTGGAGTAGACCCACCTCCCCTTATTGCAGTGTACTGCCACATTCTTTCATCTTCGTTCACTTCTTTGTTTCTTCACTATCATATGGTTATTATTTTATCAGTGCAAAGTAGTACAAGACCATGGAGGCATACATCTCTGAGCCCCGATTATAGCGATGTTATCTCAATTCTGAGCATGGGTACGGGTGCTTGTTGACAGCATAAGTATAATATTTTTGGGTTTTGGCCAACACATCCTCAAACTTTTTACGGTATTTGTTGACTAGAATATCCTTCCCATATAGTCTCATCAATCATAGCATAAAAACAATGTTGCATTGGCATCCCCCCTCCCCCTCCATCCTTCCTTTCCACAATAAATCCTCAAGTGTTACCTGCAAAAGACCCGAGTCAGCTGCATACATGCCGATCAGCCATTAACCAACTCTTAACTCTTTCAGTCGCAAACCACTCAGCATGCGTTTATGGATCAGTTCAAAGATAATTTGTTTCACCAGCTGCCTTCTACTACGAAGTATGTTATAGTATTCCTTATTGTCTAGATTACTAGGTAAACTTCTTATGTTCCATAGTGTCTATGCTGAACTCCTTAGAGCCAAAACTATTTACTGCTTTTAAGCTAAACACTTTTGGGGTAGAAGGAGTTAAAGAAACAACTGCTTGGGACTGAAAGAGTTAATGAGTAGCCAGCTTTTTTCTATGTTGATATATTTTTGTTACAGTTGATGATACCCTGAATGATATTCTTTCCGAGTCTGGAGATGAGGAGGAGCAGGATGCCATTGTCAACAAAATCCTCGATGAGATCGGCATAGAAATATCAGGAAAGGTTTGTGAAGTTTGTATGTGATGTATGTTTGTTAATTTGCATATCCTTTTGTTTAGATCAGGGCTATTCAACTGGCGCCCGCGGAGGCCTAGCAAGTGGCCCGCGGATCATTGCGAATTGTATTATATTCGTAATCTTACTATGCTAGGGCTCGGGTCTCTGACATGTGAGGATCCTTATTTTCACAATTTTGGCCCCTTGATAAACTTAGTTGAATAACCCTGGTTTAGATGAATATGATAGGCTTATAAGTTGCAAAAGTTTACTCTGATGGTTTCATTCATTGAGGTGAAAAATCTTACCAGGGTTTCTGTGTAAGATTGAAGGAGAAGGTTGTGGTGGAATAAAATGGTGCATTTTTTATCTACAATTTCAAGCATGAGGACGTCTTCTTCTTCTTTGTTCACCAGCTGTAAGCTCTGGCAGAAAGTCCTGGTTGTTCAGCCATATTGGCTGTTTGTTGCTTGCTTGGTTCTCCTGCCACACTTGCAGTCTTCTCTCTCATCAGAGCTTACATTGTTGACTGCTTCTGTCACAAATAAGATGTAGTCCTCATTAAGACCCAATTTATCACTCATTTAGGAGCAGTGGGAAACCTGATTAAATTTGGGAAACATTGAAACAAGCTCACCTGTATAGATTTCTGTTATCAGCCTCACAGCCTTTAAAACTCAGGTCCTCTCCTAGTAGACACCATTAGTGTCGCCTTGAAAAGTTATTCTAGTTTCAGAAAGAGTGGGAGCTGAATGGGCTCGAGGTTTAATGTTTGCCTCGAGTGCTGGAGTTCCTGGACTCAAGCCCTGGTGAAGGCTAGGATTTTTTCACGTAGACTTCACCAGGTAATTTCCCCTGGTCTCTGGATAGTAAGATCAGATGCCCCTGTGTATTCTTGCGCACGTAAAAAATCCCTTGGCAGTTGGAAATTTAAAAGAGTAGCCTAACGGGGCTGCCCAGGTAAAATTTGTAGTTAAAAATCTAAGTATTTCAGGATCCTCACCGGTGCAACAGAGTTCGTGCACTGCGCTGATTTCTTCAGACTCAGGCTTGATTTATAAATAGAACAGAGCACATGAATTATACCCGTGTGCCATGATGTTGATCCGTCAAATAAACATCAGAAAGAGGTGCATATGAAATCTGGCAATTGTTCTCATGTCTCTTATTGTTTCATCCCAGCTTGCAGATGCGCCCGCAGCTCACAGAGGAAAACTGGGAGAAACGTCGAGAGTCGCTGATGATGAAATTGAGAGGCAGCTTGCAGCATTAAGGGATCTCTAATTTTTCAATGAAAAGATGTGTGCAAGTGTGTCGGACTAGTGTGCATATCTTAGACTTCTGTATGTATTTTGGACTCGTGTGTATATTGAACTGCTGTGTGTATATTGAACTCATATCATATCTGTATTGTGGACTACTGTGTATATATTAGAGTCGTATGTGTGTATTGAACTTGTGTGTATCAGTTGGACTCATGTGTGAATATTGGACTAGTGTGTTTGTGCATACTTGTCTTTAATGCTTAACTTAATGGTAAGTCATAGTGGTATTGGGAGATGCTGGCCTGAAGGTTAAAGATTAAAATCTGCATTAGGGCAGATTTTTGTGAAAACTGACTTGCTAGCTTCTTGGTCAACCAAGCCTAAAATTGTTACCAGGTAATGTCCTAGCAAGCGTGTTCTTTTTCTTTTTCCTCGTCACATTCACTGGTTGTCAACTCCTGTTGAAAATTTTGGTTGTTTGTCCACTTCTGGGCTTTAGTCTTGTTCCAGAACTTGAGTTCTGCATACACATCCATATTACAGATGTGGCTGTAAAGAAGAAAAAAACCACGCCCTCCCCCTCCCGCCCCCCTTCCCCATCACAACATGTCTTAAAAGTCTTCTTCTTCTTCTTCTGCGTTCAACATCAGTCATGCTACACATTGAGTCCCGTCTGGGTCAAAAATAGGATTGTGCGTTTAAGGTCGCCACCGGTCCCCCATAGCTTCTCTCGCAATGTGGATCCCCTGGGCCAGATCCACAGTCTTTGCTGGGAGAGGTAAGGGCAGTACTGCAGTATGTGCTCAGGGGTCTGTCTTTTTGCTCCACAATCACAGGCAGCAGATTCTTTTATGCCTATCCTGTACAGGTGTGCTCGAAGACCACACTTTTGTCTTAAAAGTCAAATTAGGCGGGTTTCTTTCGAAGTCAGAGTGCATCTGCCAGAGAGGTGAAGAACCAACAGTCTGCTTACAGAAAAGCCACCAGAACTGTAAAATGGATTTTCAGACAAAACCATAAGTGGACAACAACCAGAACTTTCTGCTGGTATTTACATCTGGTGAATGCGAAGAATAAAAAGAGGTGGTGTAAATGTTAGGACTCTTAACTACTGACACTGGTCACGAGTTTGATTTCCAGACGTGGCTGGTACTTTTGTTGCAGCCAGCTTGTCTCTATCCACCTAGACTCCTATAGCACGTACCAAAGATTTCCCATGGAAAGTCAAGGCAGCAAACTGAATGCTGACTGTTTCACCCTTTTGTGCCATTTTGTCACTGAAAGTACGGGTTGGACACATAACCTACATAACATAACCTGTGACCCATTACGGTCATGGAGGTGTATTGATGAAAGCACTAGCACATAAATCCTGCCATCTTTCTTAGTCTTCCTCTTGGTAAATAATTGTATGATAACTTAGTCCTGTCCATTTCTAGATGTTGTCATTCTAAGTTCTTCTTTGCCCTCCTCTTCTTTGACTACCCCCCAATGTTCCTTGAAGCACAGTCTTTGCAATCGAATCATGTCTCACCAAGTGCCCAAACCGAGCTATGGGTTGGACTCGAAACCACCCATGTGCCTTATAATGTTGTAAACTTCACTTTGTAATCTGTTTTCATTATCCTTATTGTTTTGCTTTGGCGCCTGTGACTTGGGCATAGTAAACACACCTCATAATTTTGAAATACCTGGTTCTTCTTCTTAACCTTCATCGACTATAAACCCTGACGGAAAATTCTGGTTGTTTGCCAGTTTTTAGTCTTAATTCTTGCTCCAGAACTTGAGTATTGCATGCACATCCATTTTACAGATCTGGTGGCTTATTTGTAATCAGACTGTTGGTCTCTCATCTCTCAAGACAGATGCACTCCAGCTTTGAAGGAAACCTTTAATTAGTGTGCTTTAATGACTTTCCTTGTTAGTGGGGGGAGGGGGGGGTAGTGGGTCTATTCTTTTTTCCCCAACAATAGTTAGTACCCCAGGACCAGCATGGGGGGGATATCTGGTTCATTTCAAGCTGCAGGTGATAGGGCAGCAGACTACCTTATGTTGATTTCAACAATTGTAGGGGTCATGGACCATTCAGAAAGCAATGACAAACTGCTGAACATATATTTGCCAAGTAAAATCACAAACAGCCAAAAATTGCTGGGGTTGGTTCCACAACATCTTGTAAGATAACGGTTCTTAACCTGTGGGTTAGTGCAAAGGCATTAAACAGGCATCTGAGTTTAAATATCTGGGAACTACATTTACCGAAGATGGGAAATTGGATAAAGAAATTAACATTAGATGCAGTAAAGTAAACCAAGTATTGGGACAGCTAGCACCCCTCTTACAGCATAAGACAATCCCAATCAGCACAAAGAGACATCTTATTCAAAGCATATTTATTCCAACTCTGTGCTACCAGTGCCAGACATGGTCACTCACAACAAACCATAAAAGAAAATTAGTAACCATGGAGATGAGATGTCTGAGAAGGGCTGTAGGAGTGACCATAAGAGATAAGATCAGGAATGAGATCATAAGAGAAAAAGTCGACACAGAACCAATTCTAAATTAAATCCATAGACAGCAGGTGAAATGGTTTGCCCACTTAGAGAGAATGCCTTGTGACACCATACCATACAAAGCATACATGGAAAGAGAAGAAGGATGTAGAGCACGAGGCAGACCAAGAACAAGATGGAAGGATAACATCAGGGAAACTCTACAACAGCACGATGTGCCTATGGTCGAGATGGCCAGAAGAGCTAGAGACAGAACCTTATATCTCCCTTGACACCCACAGCGGTAAAAGAGGAAGTGAAGAAGAAGAAGAAGAACCTGTGGGTCGAACAGTAGTTTCACAGGGGTCGCCTAAGACAATTGGAAAACACATATTCACTGAAGTTATAAATTAGCAAAGAAAATTATAATATGGTTGAGGGTCACCAAAACATGAGGAACTGTAATGAATTGTCTCAGCATTAGGAAGGTTGAGAACCATTGCTGTAAGAGATAACACAACATTTAACTGTCTATTTTAAACTCAAAGGGCTGAACGCTGCTGAGCTTTGGTGGTTTCATAGAGCACTCAGCTCTGGGCATGGCACTGATCCTGGCTTCGGTTTCCAGAAGTGCAGATTACTTTTGTCCCAACCAGCTTGGCTATGGGGGTCCACCCAGGCTTAGCTGGTGCATACAAAACCTTGGTGCAGACATAGGCAATGAAATAAAGTATACCTGTCAATTCCTGCTGGGTATATTAAACATAAAGACAATGAGAAGGCTGCTCATCTTAGGGTGGAACCCGAATGGGTTGGACTGATGTGCCAGGATGTAGATATAGATACAAATTTAGAAGTAATACCAGTCAAAGCAGCCAATTCAATACAGATCATGTCACCCCTTGTATGCCATTTTATCAAAAATGGGTCAGTCAGTCGACCACCCAGAATTCCTTATTGTATTCTGAATGTGTTTGTTTTCATTTGTAATTACTTTCTTTAAAGATCTTGTTACTTTATGTTTGTTCTGCACTGACTTTGTCAAGATGCATGGTGCTTGCTGCATTTTTCCATGTTAATTCTTTAGTGAAAGTGTGTGGAAATCTTTTGTGTGTGAAGCAGACAATCCACTGTTCTTCTTTTGCTTTTGCCAGTGGTTTTGCAAATAAAAAAGCACAGGCCCCTTTTAAAGCTGTAATGTTGTGACCCATGTCCTGCACTGATCCATAAGCTTGTGTTGCACTAGAATACCAGCTGGTCGTGCATGCAGACCAAATATCCCGTCTCTTGAATTTTTTTTACATTTCGATGCAGAGTATTTTCTTCTTCTTCTTCTTTGCATTCAGTTTCGTATCTGGTCAGACTATCATGTGAGTTACTCAGTGAACTCGCATGTCAGCTGCGTGTCCTTCATAGTTCCCCAAAGCTTGCTCTGCACACTTTGCTCTTGAAGCCAGGTTTCTTTTCAAAGTTGTAGGTAGGGGAGGCAGGTCTACAGAATGTGCTCAGGTGTTTTTGGTCCTGTTTGACAGGCACACTGTGGGGACGGTACAATCTGTATTTTATGCATGTGGTAGTTGAACCTGCAGTGTCCTGTTCGTAGACGAAAAATTGTTGTATGTTGCTTTCTGTCGAGTTTGCTGATGGGGTCTTTTGGATGTTTACTGTTGATTCCACAATTCCTTGTGTTTTTCCTGCTGCAGCGCCTATTGCAATGTAAATATGAAGGTCTGTTTCTGTAATGAGAAGAGGTTTTTTGGGTCTTCGACCAGTGAGGTAGCAGCTGCTTGTGAGTGGAGGACATTGGTGGTGCTTGGTTGTAGTCATGATAATTTGTCAGCGTTTAATTGTAGTCACGTTGGTGATTTAAGATCTTTGTTATAGTCATGTTGATGATTTGTCAGTGTTTAGTTCTAGTCATATTAGTGGTTTTTAATGTTTAGTTGTAGTCATGTTGGTGATCTAAGAGCCTTGTTGTGATCATATTGGTTTTGTTGCCATGTTGGAGGCTGTCATTTTTGTGTTGTTGGTGATTTAAGATTTTTGTTGTAATCATGTTGGCGGTTGTGTTTAATTCTTGTCATGCTGCTGGCAATTATGTTGGTGATTGTCAGTTATGTTATCATAATCGACGTCACTGCACATTGGGCATTCCTATGCATGCTCAGTCCTCTGATGCAGCAACCACTCCTAGGTACTTCTGCTAATTGTTTCCATGAGGAGCTGGTTATCATGTCTCCTATCTCAGCATCGAAGGCAGCACAGACATGCTTCACCATGCTTTACTCCCATGTCACGCAATCGTGTTAGTGTCAGAGCTTTGTCATTATCCACTAACCCAGTCCATTCAGCATTGACGTATCATCAGTGATTGGTTGTAGTCAAGTTGGTGATCATTATTTGGTGAATGGCTTCTTGCGTGTACAGTAGAGCTACTGTTTAATAATATCAGGTACTTTCATATCATAAATTTGAGAATGTACAAAATCAAAGTTTAATTATAATGCATAGTTATTGTTAACAG